GGGTGTTCCATAAGAAAAAATATAACTTTGGTATGGATCTTAGTTCTGAAACACCCTGTATATTTCAAAATAATTTTAAATTGTGCCACATTGTCTCCCCACATATACCCATAAAATATTTTGTTTCTACATCTTTCCGTTTCCGCATAATCAACCGAGGCGAATGAGGTGCGCCACCCTGTATAATAAGCATAGATAGGAAAAACTATCACAAATATAGTTACTAAGCTCAGTTACTACTAAGCTCATATGACATTACTGACAATTGACAATTACTACTAAGCTCATATGACATTTAAAACTGAAGAGTTAAGCTTCATTCAGAACGTCTAAATTAGTGGTAGTCATTTTCAATTAGTAGAAGTTAACAAACTTTTGACTTTTCCATTAATTATACTTTAAATTAAAATATGCGGGGAATGCCATTTTGGCCATATACAAATTTTGGCCTTTGATTATCATCCGTCAAGAGAAATTGTGGTTAGAAATCAAAAGTTTAATGTTTTCTTTGATTTATAAGCTAAATATTTGGGTTTCTCTATTGATACTACCGCAAGCTGTTGCTAGGAGATTCTATTAATTTTAATTGTGTTTTTTAGACATTGTGAATGATCGTAAACTAAAACGTATGAAGTGTAATTGAAACCACTAATTTATTCCACTAATTGAGAGGTTCTGAATGAAGCTTAACAGACGAAATCGTGCAGATTCTATTAATGTCTGCCAAAGAAGAAAAATTGGCAGAACACATTACATCTCAGTTCGACTGTCTAGCAAACTTTCGGCTTCTTGTACTAGGCGATGATAAGCTATTGTCAAAAAGCTAGACTGAACTTTCAGTCTCCAAGTTACTAAACTTTGCGAAAATGTTACTATAGGACTGGAGGATGTAATAGGAAAATTTAGTTAATATTCTGTGCTAATAGCCACTTTAAAATCTAATCTAAGAAAGAAGTAATAAATAGCGACGTCTAATTACTTTACACTTTTTTAGAAGATTTATTAGGTATAAGGAAATAAAACATAATTTATTTTTAAATCTCTTATCACATCACATACTTTCAAAAATTGACTTAACTTAATGTCATACTCCACCTTAATACACGATTCACATAAATCTTCAAAAAATAAATAAAGTGTATTTTTGTTACCACCAGTTACGTCTTTTTATGTTCCATTACCTTCCTTATATATCCGTTAAAATATTGACTTGAACTTTGGGCCATGATTTTTTATTAGGGCTGGTGAAAATCGAGGGCCGTAAGAAGCCATAAACCAGATAATGTCACGTAAACGCGTTTCGTGTCACTTAACAACCCCTCCGACGAATCCGAACGAACCCTCAGCGAAAATATGCCCCAAGCGTAAACATTTCGAAATTAGAGGCGTAAAAGTTTGACAGTTGGTAAAATATCCTGGCTCAAATAGAGATTGTAGGCGCTGTTTGAGCCAAACAAAACATTTAACTCGTCACTTTTAGTTTAATCCACTCATTTTGTCGATGGGTAATAAATATAGATGGAAAAGGTTTTCAGAGAGATGTGCCGATGAATTATGTGTGATTACGTGTGAATTATACCGGGTGCGTCTCAAAAGGGGCTCACCCCTATAACTTAATTTTTTCAGATGAAAAAAACCAGATTTGGTATGTTAGTATATGACATAAATTAGGATTCATTTACGGTATTCAATTGTTTTCGGCTACTTCCTGTTTCACCGGAAATGACTACAACTTTTGATTTTTAAATAGCACTTTTTGTTGTTACTTTATTCTATATATAGAAAATGACACTCTGAATAGAATGACATATTATATGTCAGCTTTTGACATTTTCGAATATGGTTTATTTGAAATTGCAACATGCGATTCATAACGACAATTTGACTCGAAATACCAAATGTGTGGTACCAAATAATAATAATTCGTAAAAAAAATCTTTTTCCAAATATGCTAATGAGCCACCCTCGTTCCATTTGAAAAAATTGAGATATGACTAAAAATTCGATTTGGGCATCTTTTGGACAGGAAAAGACAGTAAAAACATTAGACGATCAAATCAATTTTTCCAAGGCTTCTTGATTAAAAATTAGTGTTTTTAACACAGCCATGGCACTCATAGATTGAAACTTAAAATACAATTTTATTTTCAGCGAAAATGTTAAAAGTTGACATATGATATGTCATTTAATTCAGAGAGTAATTTTTTATCGAATAAAGTAAAAAAATACCGAGGGTGTCATGTGTCATTTAAAAATCAAAAGGTGGAGTCATTTCCGGTGAAACAGGAAGTGGCCGAAAAGAATTGAATATGCCAATCAATCCCAATTTATGTCAGATACTAACATACCAAATCTCGTTTTTTATCCGAAAAAATAAAAAAGGGGTGAGCTGATATAAAAACTTACCATTATACATTTAAGATTTACTTATTACAAATAATAATAATTAAATAAAATGAACTATATTTATGGGATAACTCGAGCGAAAATTTGCTCGAGTACTTTATTATTGCAATAACCGACATCGCTCGATTATGAACGAGCGATGCAAGTGACGAGTTACGAGCGACGAACGCAAGCGATCCTACAATGAAATAAATTGAAAACTGATTTTAATGTGACATACTCGATAAAAAGCCGAGCGAATTTTCTACTTACAATGCAGGTAGGAAATTTATACGACCGCGACGTTATCCATTGCGTATCTGAGTGATAAAATTTTAAGACCTATATCGACAATGCTTTGAAATAAACTAAATCAAGCGAATTACTCGTCGCTCGTCGCTTGCTACTTGTCATTCATCACCGAAATAATGTCTGCTCTGCGCACGCAACTTACTGCTTGGCGTTACGAGTTATACGAGTACAACAAGCGACGGGCGAAAACCCGTATTTTTAAAGACGAGCGATATTTCGCTCGAGCGATCGCTCAATTATTGAAATCGCTTGAAACTCGAGTACTCGATTATTGAAATTAATCGGTTTTCCCATCACTAAATGTAAGCATATAATGAGAGTGACAACTGTAGCGAACTTTCAACTATTACCTGAGTTACTCTTGTTTGTTAGTTTTTCCCTTGTTGTAAAAAAAACTAAAAAAAAATCTAGGAAAGCCGATCTAAAGTACATCTGACGGGTCTCTTTTGTATCAGCGGCTCTTTTGTCCTTTCGCACGCACCGTCCCCGTCGTCGTACTTCTTTGAGGGCATTATTTTGTCTTTCTCTTTCGTATCCCTCGCCCGTGTTTCACGGTGGTCACCGTAAGACCATCAGCTGAGAGCCTAAGGGTCAGTGCTCCTCGTTTCTGCTGATAGCAGATAGACTCAAGGTTATAGAGCCGGATTCCGAGCGAGAATTGACCGTCTGCTCCAATGTTTTCTTTATCATTACAGGAAAATATAATTTTGTCTAGTATTAACACACTTTTATTAGCGTTACCTGTGTGTATATTTGTATAGATATTTGTATCTATGTAATGGTATATTTAAACGTTTTTTATTACTACTACTGCCATTACTCGTTGACGAGTATTTGACACTCATCAGAAGATGGTTACGTAAGGCGTTTTCTTTCATGAGTTTTTCCGTGACTGAAAAGCCCGGTAGGTAATGTTATCTCTCTTCCGCACATTTAAAAATCTCATTACTTTGTTGCTTCTTTACATTTTTTGGTTGTCGTTGTTAACTGAGTTTACGATTCTTCTCTATTGCGTTCTATTGCTCTATTGCCAGATCTACTCGTAGCAACTATCACTTTTTTATTAGAATATACAGGGTGAGTCTTAGATAAGTGCAGATATTTTCAGGGCTGGTAGATCTCGATAAAAGAAACATATTTTCTCTTTACCGTTTTTCAGATAGGTCCTAAAAAACCGAGTTATTCAAGTTTGAAAATTTCAAACAAAATTTTTTGTTTTAAGCTTCACAAAAGTATTAATTTTTGCGATGTGATTGACAATATAAAAAAAGTCATTTTGACGCCTAGGCATAAAAGTAAAGCACTTTTACGCCTAAGCATAAAAGTACGAAAATATATTATTAAACTGACATAAAGTGTCAAGCGTTTGGAACGTTTGAAATTGTTTAAAACTTATTTGTGGCGTTTGAAAAAAAATAGCATGTTCTAATCGGAGTAAAAATTACTTTTTGTGCTTCGGCTGTGTCAAACGTACAGCCTTCCCACAAAAAGTGTAATTTTTGCTCCTAATAAAACATTATACTATATTTTTAAAAAAGTTTGGGAGCCACCGGATTTTTTCTGTATTTGCATCCTTTGTGCCGTAACCACGGAGTAAAGCTAACCATGGTAAATCAGAGATTAAAAAGTAAACCGTAGGAAAATTTGCGGTGAACATAGGCAGTCCTAAAAAGTTTTCTAAAATATACAGGAAAATTTAAAAGAAAATGCACGATTTTCGACTAGGGTCGAAATATACCACCCCTAAAAATATTTGCTCTTAATTAAGACTCGCCCTGTATAATACCCTATTCCTATATCAGCTATTTCCAAACTGTGTACTAGGTGCTCCGTAAAGTCTATCCAAGTAGAATCAATCTGTCCATCCAAAAAATTCCACAATTATGGCACTACGAGTCAGGGAAAAGTTCTACAAAAAATGACAGAAAAATTCAATTGTATGAATTACCAACCTGTGAATTAAAATGACACAGCTGTCAATGTCACGTATTCTCTCGTTGGACAGACTGTAGTAATGATAGTGCAAAAAAAATAATTTAGAATAGAATATTGTTGGTGCAGATAAGCCATTACTTTTTCTCTGTATTAAAGAATTATGAGAACCATTAAAAACGGCCCTTCTGCCAAAATAATACCTATCATATGTTGAACTGGGTTTTAGAATCCCTAGGGCATTATATTCGCATAATTGGGGAGGGTTCTGTTAGAGCCGAAATTCGATGGAAGTTTTAACTTTGGCCAGCTTTATTAAATTAGATTTAATTTTCCTTTGTTATTTTAATGTTGTATTTTTTCTTTTGCAGTTGGTGATAAAAATTTCTGCCAAGGACGGCATTAAACGCCTGACGGATGTTGAGAGGCCTAAACTCGAACCAAAAGCACACATTACCAACCATATTTTGGTTCACAACAATCACAATGTAAGTCACGCATGCCAAATTTTACCTAATCTTAATTCCTTACTGTTTTATTTAGATTTAGACTTTTATATTTTATAAATTTTATGCAACTATGCCATGAATTCTGTTTTTCTTACAATACTAGGCACGATGGAATTCACTTCACCATGTATAACCCCAAATCTCATTCAAATTGAAATAACGGTTCTTAAAATATCTGAAAAAATATGTTTATTTTTTCAAGTTTGATGCCCTCTAACGGACAAACGAAGCACTTTTGGATAGAGTTAAATTGTGCCCGATGAACATATTTTGTTGCCAAAAATACGTAGTAGTTCTATGCTTACAGAATATTGCGACACTCTGTATAATTATTTTTTAAATGAACCGTATTGTAAGCAGTTAATCAATTCTCACGGCTTTTTGAACGAACGAGTCGCTGTGATCCGATTCAATTCTTATGACTCGTTCGTTCAAATTTTATGGATCCGTGCTGGCCATGATTTACTCGAACGAACCGTATTCTACGCGGTAGAGGTTGGAACGAATTCTCTTTGAACGAACTATCGCATTGTGATCCGATTCAATTCTCACGACTCTTTTTTACGGCTCATCGTTCAAATCTTATGGATCTGTGCTGGCCACGATTCAATAGTATATCCGTATTCTACGCGGTAGAAGTGGACAAAGATTGAATGAGTCGTTCATCCGAACGAGCATTAAAAATGAATCGTGAGAATTAATCTTAGAATACGGTTCGTTCAATTGAATCGTGGTCAGCACGGATCCATAAGATTTGACCGATGAGCCATATAAAAGAGTCGTGAGAATTGAATCGGATCACAATGCGATACTTCGTTCAAAGAGTCGTGAGAATTGATTCATTGCTTACAATACGGTTCGTTCAATTGAATCGTGGCCAGCACGGATCTATATGAGCTGTAAAAACGAGTCGTGAGAATTGAATCGGATCACAATGTGATCGTTCGTTTCTACGGCGCGGCGGTAATATAGGCATAGAGTCAGGCACCAATATTTAGACTTGAACAAAAGCCCTAAAGATGCATCATGGGGATAAAATGCAAACTATAAAATAACGGCGTCAGCGATGTTATAAAATGAAGATATCTTTCAATTTATATGTAAAATTATATGGTGAATGTCATCGATGTTCATTTCCAAGTCAACTGGACGCCATTTTTTTCGATCATGCGGTATTATGTACTATTTATTATGATTATTAAATCGGAATTAAAATATGGCTCTAAAAATATTAAATTGGTATTAAGAAGTCTTTAATAAACAGTATATAAGAATTGGACTGATAATTTAATATAATTGGTAAAATAATTAATCCAATTACGCCAGTGTCATAAAGTGTTGAAAAACAAATGAAAGAACTGTATATTTCTTTTTCTGGCCCCTTAAGTAATTGTTCGACCAAATTATCGCCGGTAGTGCCAGTTACGATTCTTGTTTTTATGAAACGAAATTGTGCATGTGGTTCCTTCAGATGAACGAATCGTAGGAGTCGATTCATTATGAGAAATTGAATCGTGCGATTCGATTCACTAAAAAGAATCGTAATGCCCATCACTACTACGCGGTGAATCGAATCTCACGATTTATTTTTAATACTCTTTTAATCTTTGCCCACCTCTAATACACACTGTATAAAACGGCATTATATAGTTTGTAAAACATGCATGTTGACGTTATCTTTGGAATATACATAAAAGACACAGAATGTGTCCCACATTCCGTGTTTTAGGAAGCAATTTTAGATGCCGTTTCGCTAGTGGTAACGGTTTTGGAATACGGCCAGAAATCATTACTTACCGGTATAAAGTTAGTGCCTACCTACACACGAGTAAATATTCCTTAATAATCACTTTATTACGCTTAAAAACAAACTTGTGCATATAAACCCTCGAGTTTAGTTTTATTTCCTGTCAGTTCTAAACCGCGAAATATGTCAACACGGTATTATTCTGAATTATTTATGGATTTACACGGCAAGTGGTGTACGAGGAAGTCAGGTAGATATATTATTTTGACGAGTATAATTTGAACTTAGAATATAATATGAAGAATAGATTATGTGTTTTTGTTATATATTGGAGTTGGATGTGAATTTTAAATTAAATATACTAAAAGATACAGTACAGATACTATCCAGCTCCTGAAAAGACTTGATATAGATCATAAAGACATCCAATGCATTGAGAAGTTATACTGGAAGCAAATAGCACAAATAAAATTGTCCAATACCATGTCCAATCCCATACAAGTTAGAAGGGGGTGCGACAGGGTTGCATGCTATCTCCACTCCTATTTAATTTATACTCAGAAGCTATTTTCCAAGAGGCTCTGGAGGACGTGGAAATGGGGGTCAAAGTTAATGGAGTGTGGATTAATGATATCCGCTATGCCGACGATACGGTCTTAATTGCAAACAATATACTTGACCTACAACAACTGGTCAACAAGGTAGGAGAACAGAGCAAAGCAAGGGGTTTAAACATCAACATCAAGAAAACCAAATTTATGATTATATCCAGAAACCCAGATGTGTTTATAAAGTCCATCCTAACATTTAACTCAAGACCCATAGAAAGAGTAGATAAATTTAAGTACTTGGGCATCTGGCTCTCCGAAGATTGGACATCAGACAAGGAAATTAAATGTCGCATCGAACAAGCTCGGCAGGCATTCTTGAGGTTTCGAAAAGTCTGTTCTGATTTTGACATTAGCCTTAGATTAAGATTCGTAAAGTGTTATGTGTGGTCGGTGCTCCTTTATGGTATGGAAGGTTGGACATTGAAAGCAGCTACCATCAACAAATTGGAGGCTTTTGAGATGTGGCTATATCGCAGAATCCTGAAGATACCTTGGACGGCTATATTGACAAATGAGGAAGTTCTCAGACGCGTTGACAAAGAGCGTGAATTATTTGAATTGATTAAAAAGAAAAAGACCGCATACCTGGGGCACATAATGCGAAACCCAAATATCAATTCTTGCATTTGTTGATAGAAGCCAAGATCGAAGGCCGGAGGGGTACCGGAAGGAAGAAAATGTCTTGGCTGAGGAATATTAGACAGTGGACAGGGCTACTCGATGTTCAGTCGCTAATACACACCGCCCGGAACAGACAAGTAATGGAAAATGTTATCGCAAACATCCATTAATGGATCTGCACTAGAAGAAGAAGAAAAGATACAGCACACCACCACAATGTAGAAAGTAGAATGAGTGGGAGGGTGCGACAATCACTGCGACCTTAAAGATCTATTGTGACCCCCTTCCTTGAGTTATAACTCATCATACGGTCTATAACCCATCATACATGACGATTGTGTTGTTGTAGGGGGGATAAGATATTTTCCATCCTTCTCTGACAACAGATGTTTTTCCTCCGAGGGTATACACCTTTCCGTGGTTAGGGTTACTTCACATTCGAGGATCTGTCTCCATTTTCTCCACCTCTTTAACTTGGTCTCTCCTTAGACCTGATACAGGTGTTGTCTCGAATCTATAATAAGATATATTCCTCTTCCTCTATTGCCTCTTTGGATTTGAGGTCAATTTCTATTGTGAGGACCTAACCATAACACCCCTCTCTCGAGTTGTTGACTCGCTGTTTTTACAGTGGGGTTCTGAGCCTGGATAAGGCTCAGCAGGAAAGTGTTATATTTCCCCTTGAACTCCGCGCACTCAGTGATAAGGTGTTCTGGTGTTTCCCCATTTTCCCCACAGAATCTGCATTCGCCGTTCTTTCTCAGCTTCAATCTACTGAGGTGTTCGTTGAGGAGACAGTGTCATAAAGGAAACTCTTTGATTTTTCTAGGTCGTAAGTTCTGAGAAACTTTTTCGAATGTCTTAGACTGTTGGGGGATTCCCATTCCAGATTACGGATGGAGTCCTCCAGGTTCTTCAGTTCCGCTTTAAGCTGGTTTCCGCTTGGAAAGCAAAACAGTTCTGGTCCAGTTAGTGGAGTATTCGCATCATTTCTAGCTTGATCGTTTGTTTTTTCATTGCATTCTATCCCTTGGTGAGCGGGCACCCAGAGTAGGAGAACTTTGTTTTCTTTGCCTAATTTGTTCAGCTTCTCTAGGCATTCTTTGGCCAACTTCGAATTATGATTATTGAGTTGATAGCTCTTAGTGCTGCTTGACTGTCGGATAAGATGGCTATTTTTTTTTTGAATTGTATTATTTGTATTGTGTATTTTTTGTTGTTTGTATTTTTTTTGTGCTTTTTTTGTTTTGTGAGTGCTTTGTCGATGAAGCCGCTTTGGCTTTTTGTACAATAAAGCGTTGTTTGTTGTTGTTATTGTTTCCTGTTTTCGATAGTTCCTATCTAGGATAAATTGTACGCATCTTTCGGTGGCGTAGATTTCTGCTCGAATGATGTTGGGGTAGGTGACCATTGGTTCAGAGTATTTAGTTTTCGGCCCAAATACTCCTATCCCTGTCCCTGCTTTGGTTTTGGAAGCATCAGTATACCACGTTATGGTATGGTATCACGTGCTGAGAAATCGTTTGTCTCTTCCAATCATTAATGAGTGATTAACTTTCCTCCTCCCATACATTCTACAACTCATTCTAGGACTCACCCTGTGTAACAAATTATCCGTTGAAACTAAAAGAATTTCGGACTTCCATTGTCTTTTTTTATTTTATTGACACAACGTTTCGGTCAAAAGTATTTATGGCCGTTATCAAGAGTTTACACTGAAGTCCGAAATTCTTTTAGTTTTAGTAATACTGAATCATTGCCTACCACATTTAAATTTAAACTACCGTTTATTGTTATTGAGGAAAACGTTTTTGTAAAGTACGCCTTTAGGTCTACAACACAATGTAAAACAAGCAAAATCGAACTAAAACGAATCATTTTTTATGGGATAATAATAAATTGCAACTAAAATATACTTACCGATAGCTAATTTTACGCAGAATCGGCAAACCCCTTAAAGTGTTGGGCATTTATATTGAAATATCTTGTATAAGCATACT